TGCATTCTGTCTACACTGCTGATGAGTTCCGAACTTGAGGAAGTCATTTATCTTCATTAAAGCAGAGGTTTTAAAGATACCTTGTAGGGTTGTGTTAAGGATTAAATAAATTAATACATGCAATAACCTTTGGAAGAGAAAAAAGCACAAGTTATGGAAAGTACGTAAGTTGCCAGAAAAGAACAGACCCCGCTATCTCTGCTGCTTTAAGTTCTCTCAATAGTCTTTTTTATTCAGCAATGTGGACATTTAAGATGTATGTAATTTAAATACAAATGAAATAATACCACTGCACTGTAGTACTGTCCTCCCGATGTTCATCGATTTGCTCAAGCAGGCACCAGTAATGTCTCCATTGTGAGACTTGTTGTTACTGTTTTTGGCACATCAAATATGCCACAGGAACCTTGCCAGGCTCTGCCGTGAAGGCGAGATACTCTCAGTAGCCTGCCGGGCTCTCCAAGAGGGACGGAGGAATCAACCCAGGTCAGCCGCGTGCAAGGCAAACGCCCCACCCGCTGTGCTATCTATCACTCCAGCCCATACTAAATGAAATAATAATAATAATGAAAAAGAAAAAAAGTAAAAATATTTTTAAAAAGGAAAAAAGATTCATATATATCCCTTATCAGAGTTTTCTTGGTGCATAACAGACACTTGGTCCTGAATTCTTCTCTCTGACTGCTAGGAGTCTAAAACCTTATTTGAAACCAGGTCTGGCTAATGATGTCCCAGGATTAAGTGGAAGTGCTGGGCTGGTGAGGTGTCTGCCTAGCATCCGGGCACTGTCCCACATACAGTCCTCAGTGGTCCTGCTGTTCAGGATCCCTGGTGTGACAGCAAAATGTGTTCTCTGGTATTCTGGTACAGGACCCCAGTAAACCCTACAAGTATTAAGTGTGTGATAAAGCAACCAAGTGTGTGAATTCAACAATAACAATAACAAAAAGAAAAAAAAAAAGGAAAATATATATATATTTTTTTTTTTGCTTTCTGGGTCACACCCGGCAATGCACAGGGGTTACTCCTGGCTCTGCACTCAGGAGTTACTCCTGACGGCACTCAGGGGACCATATGGGATGCTGGGAATCAAACCAGGGTCGGCCGTGGGCAAGGCAAACGCCCTACCCGCTGTGCTATCTCTCCAGCCCCTAGGGAAATATAATTTTAAAAAATATGAAATATATGGAAACGCCAGTACTGAAAGTTATGTGCATGGCCTTGCCTTGGCTCTGCAACACTCATTAACCATGCAAATACCACCTCAGAGTAAAACATTGATGTGTTTCTGACGCATTTGCAGTCTACACACATCCCCACCCCACCCCCACTGAAGCTCACTCTTCAATCTTTGAGTCCACTTTAGGGCAAGGGGGGAGGAGGAGACTACTGACTAGGCAATACTTTCTGTGTCATCTCAGATTAACTAGATGGAACCAACCCAAAAGTTCACACATGCTGCTAGGTCAAAAGTTTATACTCCAGGGGGCCGGACTGATAGTACATCGGGTAGAGCCCTTACGTTGCGTACAGCCAACCTGGGTTCAGTACCCAGCATCCCATATGGTCACCTTAGCAGAACCAGGAGTAACACCCTAGCACTACAGGGTGTAAGCCTGCCCCCCCCTCCAGAGTTTCTACTCCAAACAAGTTCATACTCCAGTTGCAACTTACTTATTAGGATTCCATAGCCAATGAAGACAGAGAGATGAGGAGAGGAGAGAAGAGGAAGAGAAAGGGGGAAAAGGAGAGGGGAAGAGACCAAAGGAGAAAAAGAGGGAAATTATTTTTATTTTAATGATTCATGTGGAACCAAGCAACTAATTGTACTCAAAAAAAATGTAGACACACTTCCCAAGCTCTAATGCATTTAGAACATCTTATTTTAGAGTATACTGCGTGGGACTGGAGCAATAGCACAACAGGTAGGGCATTTGCCTTGCACAGGGCCAACCCGGGTTCGATTCCCAGCATCCCATATGGTCCTCCAAGCACCGCCAGGAGTAATTCCTGAGTGCATAAACCAGGAGTAATCCCTGTGCATGGAAAAGAGAATACTGTGAAAGGGGCTGACCTAAACACTCTCTAACTTTGAAACTCTGAGGAAGGCATATAATGTGTACAAATATTCAACTAAGGACTGCTTTTAAAATACGCAACATGGAAGAGACAGAAAGCACTGAGGGTGAGGCATATGTGACCTACTCCAGCTTGATTCTCTGAGACTGCGAGAGAGAGCTCAAAGGGCTGGATCACAAGCCTGGCGTGTGCAAGCTGGGATTCAATTTCCAACACAAAGCCCCCCCAAGCACAGCTCGGATGGCCCTGCAGACCCACAGCACCACTTGTACCTCAATAACTCCCAGGTAAATGTTGCCAGGTGTCTCCCCCTGAGCACAGCTTGGGAGATTCATAACAATTTTTTTCTTATAAGAAAACGTCCACAAGCCAAGATTGTGGTTTCAAGTAGAGAACATATACCTTGCATAGGTGAGACCCTGCCCTAGGTTCAATTCCCAGCAGATACCGTTGGGTGTAGCCCCCTAGCACCACTAGGACCCACAACAGAATAGACAGCACTTCGTTCTTTTAACAGCCACACATTAAAAAGAACAAAGCAACAACAACCAGTGTTGGATGGATAAAAAGAACTCTCATCAGGAATGTGATTGGTTCGGTCATTTTAGAAAACAATATGGATATTTCTCAAGACTAAGAATTTCACTTTTTTGGCATCTGCCCCAAAGGCCAAAAGACTACATTTGGAAATTGCAACACTATTTATGATAACCAAAATATGAAAACAATTCAAGTGTCCAAGAATGGGTGATTGGATATATACTCAATGGTAGACTGCTGGGAATGTAATCAAGACAAAATCATGAAACTTTTCTCAATAATCCATCTAATTATTAGATGAATCTGAAAAGTATCATGCTGAGTGATTGGCCAAAGACAACAATTCTGAGAGCAGCAGGTCCAGATTTGATCCCAGCATCCTGAGCCCTGCTCAGGAATAATTCCAGAGTGCAGAGTCAGGCAAGAATAACCCCTGAACACTGCCTGATGTCCCACCCACCTCAACCTCTCCCCTCCCCCGACCCCAATCCCTTCATTAAGTTTGTAAAGCATGTTGCCTAAAATAAAATAAAAAACTTTAATCTATAATTAAATTCTGATTTGCTAACATCTAAAATATGTCTTGATCCAGTAAGATAGCTCAAAGGGCTAGGGCTAGAGCACATATTTTGCACACGGCAAACTCCGGGTTCAATCCTCAAAATGCATGGAACTCCAAACATTTTCAATTGGAACAGTAAGAATTAAACCATAAACCCTGAGCACCAGGGCTGGAGTTATAGCACAGCGGGTAGGGCATTTGCCTTGCATGCGGCCGACCCGGGTTCGATTCCCAGCATCCCATATGGTCCCCTGAGCACCACCAGGAGTAATTCCTGAGTGCATGAGCCAGGACTATCCCCTGTGTATCACCAGGTATGACCCAAAAAGAAAAAAAAAAACCCTGAGCACTGAGCTAAGGCCCCTGTACTCCACCATGGGATGTGACCCACCCTCTTCCCCCTCAAAGAGATTAAATGATTGGATGGGTAAATCTCTGAGCTCCTCTTGGATCTCAATCTACTTGATTATGCAGATAGTGCAGATTTTCTTCTGTGAGCAAGGTCCCTCACATGGTTTGGATTTGAAATCCTGGAGCAGTTCTCACTCAGCAAAGTTTAAGGAATAGCATTAATCATTTAACTAGACTAACTAACTCCTACCTCAATCTGTCTACTTTAAAATAAAGCCGTCAGGCAGGAAAGATAGTATAGTGGATGGGCCTTTGCCCTGTAGGAAGCAGCAGATCCAGGTGAAATAAATCCCTGGCATCCCATTAAAGTTCCCGGAGCATTCCCGGGAGTGATTCCTGAACACAGAGCCAGGAGTAAACCCTGAGCATAATTGGGTGTGGTCCCCCAAACCGGGTGTGGGCCAAAATAAAATATATAAAGCTTGCAATCCGTATATCCTTTATATTTTAAAACCTAAAACAAAACAAAATAGCTGTTGCCTTCTCTTAACTTGACTCAAGGAGGAAAAAATGGTATCTAGAGTTGAATAGATGGCAGAGGTTGAATAGATGGTAGAGGGGATAAGGCAGGCACTTGCCTCATCCAGCACTGCCTAAGGTCTCCCGAGCACTGCCAGGAGTGACCTGAGTGCAGAGCCGGGAGTAAGCACTGAGCACCACAGCGTAGCCCCCAGAGAGAAGCAGAGACAGAGACACACACAGAGTAGTATGAAGTTACCAGAGCACAAAAATTCCCTCCAGGAGAGCAGAAGTCTCCTGATCTGTTTGTCAGGAGGAGTTCCTGGAATGCTGGTCTTTTCCCTGTTGACAAGCCCTTAGGCAACGTTTCTTTTCCTTACTCAAAATCCAGATCTGCAAGGGTGGTGACACCTCTCACTCCAGGCATGAGAGAATCATGGTTGAGAACAACACTTGGGGAACAGGGAGTCCTCCACGCGTGCTTTGCTTGTGCTCTGCCCAGCCAGCTCCCCTGCAGGAAACTTGCCTCCGGAGCCCTGAGACACAGCCCTGCAAAGACGCTAACAGCTCTAGGGGGGGGATAAAGAGTCCACCCTTCTTCTCCCCTGAGTGTCCCCGGAACGATTTTCGATTAATAAACCTTCTCCCAGTCCTGGGGACGGAGCGACAGACAGCAGAGTGGGCAGGGCGCTTGCCTGGCATGATCCGAACTGGGTTCCCCAAACCACACACGGCTCCCCTGCGCAGCCAGGAGTGATCTCGGAGCGCAGAGCCAGGAGTAAGCCCCAAGCACTGATGAGTAAGCCCCCCCCCCCAAAAAAAAAAACAAACAAACAAAAAACATCCTCCCTGTCCAGAGCAATCCCGCCCCCAAGCTGAACCTTCAGAGAACACAACGTAAATAGGCCAAGGCAGGCGGAGTGTAGAGGAGCCCGGCCGGGACACTTACACACAGGATCTTCCATTTTCAAGGGTCTTTTCAGGCGGATGCTGGCGGGGACCGTCTTCTCGATCAGTTCCTCAATGCTCTAGAATGAAAAAAAATGCAAATCGTGGAACACCAGAGGCAGAGGAAAACAAAGTTACACGAATCACCTCTGTGTTTTGCAGCTACCAAGGCTTGCGGGAACCGTCTTTTTAAAAAAATCAGGAATTTTTTTTTTTTCTGATTCAATGAAAAGAATGTGAGCAAACCAGAAATCACTTGGAGGAAAGCAAATGGAACCAAGTGAGATAAGGATCCGATCGCTCCGGAGACCATCGGATAAACCGGGACGTCCCCCCACTCTCGCTCAGATTAGGCTCATCAGTGGGCAAAGTTGGAACGAAGAAAAGCGACGAATCCGAGACGCCGAGAGCGGGGTCCAGGAGCGCGCAGAGGGAGCGGGTGCGAGAAGGCGCCGGGTCCGGCTCGAGCGCACGGCCAGGGCCGGCCGGGGGCGGGGGGGTCCCCGGGGAGAGCCGCGGGGCCACTGGGCTGGGGGACGCGAGACGCGCGCAGGAGAGGCCCCGAGCGCTGGGCCACGGTCCTTACCGCCAGCCCCAGGGCCTGGAGCATCTCCCTCTGGTCTTTGTCCCCGGGGCCGATGTGCCTCCGAGCGAAGTCGTCGTGCCGGGGCAGGAGGCGCTCGAGCAGGCGCCCCCCGCCGTCCCCGTCCCCGCCGCCGCCGCCGCCGCTGTGACAGCTCCGGGGCGCCCAGCGCAGCCCCGCGCCTCCGGCCGGGCGGCGGCGGCCCCCGAGTCCGCCGGCCAGACGCATCCCGCAGGCGCGGGCGCACGTCTGCATGGTCGCCGGCCCCGTCCGAGCCCCGGCCCGAGGGCCCGCCGCGCTCCCGGTCCCCCTCGCCGCGGCCCGCGGGGGACCCCCGGGGTCGCGGGGCGCCGCACGGATGAATGGGAGCCGGGACGCGCCGAGCGGGCGCCGCGTCCGGGCCGGACACTCGCGCAAAGTTGCTGCTCCGCGCCAGGCACCTGTTCCGCACACTTTAAGCGTCGCCCGGAGGGGCGGGCGGTGGGATGAGGCCAGCGGACGTCGGTCCAATGGGCTAGGGAGGAGGGGCGGGCCCGACCCCGCCTCGGTCCCCCTCCCCACCCGCCGCTCCCGCCCTCCGCGCCCGGAGCCGGCCGGCCGGTTCCTCCCGTGCCTTCTCCCGCCCCGGGGTGGGGGTCGGCTCTGTGCGCGCTGGCACTCGCGCCGAAGGGCCAGGGCCTGAATGCCTGCGGGACCCAGACGAGAAGAAAGACGGTTTTCCCGAAGCTGGAGAGCGTGCCACGGGCACGGCACTCGCCTCGCACGCGGCGGACCCAGTTCAATCCCCGGCACCCCGAACGGTCCTCTGGGTAGATCGCCAGGACTGATCCCCGAGGGCAAAGCCGGGAGTCACTCTGAGCGTTGCTGGGAGTGCCCCACCCCCTGCCACCTCCTTCCCTCTGAAGAAAGGAGAAGGTTCCCCGAGGAGGCGAGGCGTACCTTCCAGAGTTAGCTGGTTTCCATTGACTTCATTCAAATAGGCTCCCTGCCCCCAAGATGAAAGGACACCTCTTGAGAGCAAGGACAGCTTGAAGGGCACTTGCTTTGCAACCCAGTTCCATCCCAGGCACCACCTGGGGGCCCCTGAAACCACGGCCAGGAGTGATCCCTGAGCATGGGAGGATGTGGCCCCAAAATAAACCAAAGACATTTCTCTTTCTCTGTACCAATGAGTAAAGGCCACCCGAAGCACTTCGCCTATCAGCAGGAGCAGTGCATCTCCCATGGCTTTTCACCTCTTCCACTCTCTGTCAGGATACCCACAGGCAGGACCTTGATTGTTCTTTTTTTGTGTTTTTGTTTTGTTTTGTTTTGTTTTTTTTTTTTTTTGGTTACTTCCAGCTCATGCACTTAGGAATTACTCCTGGTGGTGCTGGGGGACCATATGGGATGCTGGGAATCAAACCCAGGTTGGCCAAGTGCAAGGCAAACGCCCTACCCACTGTGCTATCGCTCCAACCCCAGCACCTTGATTGTTTTCTCTCCCCAAGATCCTGAAGCTTGAAGGACCTGGGATTTGGCTTGGTGCCTTGCTAAGACACATGCCAGCCAGTGGGACAAAACCTCACGAAAGGGGCTGGAGAAATAGTACAGTAGGTAAAGTGCTTGCGATGCACACTGCCAAGTCAGGAGTGGTCTTCTGCATCCCAGATGATCTCCTAAGCACCACCGAGGAGTGATCTATGAGCACAGAACCAAGAATAAGTCCTGGGCACTGCTGGATGTGACTTATAAATCACGGTCACGGTCCTCCCGTTGTTCATCGATTTGCTCAAGCGGGCCCAGTAATGTCTCCATTGTGAGACTCAAAAAATAAAATAAAATAACCTCATAGAAGAGTCAGGCTCAGCTACCATCTCAGTGGGTTCCTAGCATACAGTGATCTCTGGCATACTGAACCAACCACTTCAAAGACTATTGTGTGGCCTTGAACCCCTACCACTAAGAAAAAGGCACTGCTGGGTGGACCTCTTTGGACGCTGCACCAAAAAAATGTGGCGAATGGTGTGAAATATTTCTCCAACCCAATTACCTAGTAAGGGATTTACTTTGAGTGGAGCCAACATGAAAGGACATAAAAGCTGATTTAACCACTAAGGGATTAAATCAGGACCCAGTAAGAAGTCCAATGACAGTCTGTCTGCTATACACAAAGATGCCATATTGAGCCTCTAGTAAACACAAAAGGGAGACTCGCAAAGCAGACTCTTTTGGAAGGAAAACCATGCCCATTTCTGCAACTAATTGCTCTTTTTGACAAAGAACTTCCATGAGAATACCAGACCATAAAACAAAACATTGTCGTTTTGTTGTTTGTATTTGTGTTTTGGCAACATCTGGCGATGCTCATACGTGTTCAGGGTTGCTCCCAGCAGTGTTGGGAGCCAGGGGTCAATTCCAGGGCTCCAGCACGCAAAGCCTGCACTCTAGCTCTTCGTACTATGTCTTCAGCCCTGAAACAAAAACATCTTACCAGTCACTAGGAGATGCAGTCACCTACAACGCCTCTATCGTGCACTGCCATGTGAAAGTAGTATCCATCACCTACAGGAAGATGGGCTTAAACAGCTTATGAAAGCTCTGGTAAGTAGTGCCAACAAGTGCTCTGACTGTGTCACCTGTTTTTACTGCATTGCTACCTATCCTTCAGTCCACGTGCATTGAATCATCTCTTCTTTGGGGGGGAGGGGCAGGGAGGGGCTGTAAATCCCTATTGTGCTCATGATTTACTCCTTACTAAGGATCACTTCTGAGGTGTTCAAGGGAACATATGTGGTGCTAGAGATCAAACTGGCTTGGCCGTGTAGAGGGCCAGTGCCTAACACCACCATATTGAATTCTTAAGGAAGAATTTAGGTTTGATGTATAACTGCCTGAAGGATATCAAGAAAGAGAAACTGTCCAAGTGGGCAACACTTGGGTGCCAGAGAGATAGTACAGTGGGTAGAATGCTTGCCTTGCATGCAGCTGACCTGGATTCGATCCCAGAACCTCTATGATCCCCAACTCACTGAGAGTGATTCCTAGCAAAGAGCCAGGAGTAACCCCTGAGCGCCTCCAGGTGTGGCAAAAATATACATGTTTATTTATCCAATATTTACAGAAGTTACTGATGACAAAAAGTTTACAGTTAAGGGGGCCGGAGCTATATATAGTACAGAGGGTAGGGCATTTGCCTTGCATGCGGCTGACCCGGGTTCCATTCCCATCATCCCATATGGCCCCCCTGAGCACTGCCAGGAGTAATTCCTGGGTGCAGATCCAGGAGTAACCTCTATACATTGCCAGGTGTGAACCCCCCGCAAAAAGACACCGAAAAAGTTTACAGTGAACTTTTACAGGGGCTAAGGCATTTACCTTGCATTCTCCTGACCTGAGTTTAAATTCCCAGCCCCACACTGGGTCCCCTGAGCACTGCCAGAAGTCACTCGAGCAGAGAACCAGTAATAGTCCCTGAGCAACACCAGGATGAAACCAATTCCACTCCCACAGTTTACTATTGATTATGTCAGGAGAAGCAGAGCTAGAACACATATCTCCTTGTCCTTACTCTGAGATCCTCACCATCAAGCAGGTTGCTTGATCAGTATGGCTAGCACAGCCAGTCTCAGAGAAAAGATTCCCTTAGTTTGTACAGTGACTATCTGAAGTTCCTACCTAACTCAAGAATTCTTCCTGTCTTTGGCAAATACACGATCATTTCTATTGAGGAACATTTCTCTTACACCATCAGGCCATAGATTTGGATGGCTGTGCTTACTCAAAGTCACAGGTCTGGGTATGGGAGGCAAGTCTTACAAAAAAAGAAGAGTAAATCCCCCTGGTTACCATCTCGGGTACCATTCTTAAGTCACCCTCTCAAATTAAGTTCAAGTAGGCTAAGCAGGCAGGCTCCCAAAGGATGGTTCATTTTTCCAAGAGCAGCAATTTGATACCCAACTGTTTCCTGGTTAAGGACTTAGTGAGAGGAATACTACTGTCCCCTGTAAAAAAAATATTTCTTCCACTGTCATCAATTAGAGAAACATATTGTGTGTTTAGCAGTCTCTCTTTGCAGAGCAACTACTGCCTGCCACCCAGCCCTCATCAACAACTCAGGGAAGATTCCTCTAAATAGGCTCTGAATGTGCCCAGCTAGAGACCTTGGTTTATCAAATAGCAAATTAATTTAGAAAATGTATGCAGTAATGCCTCCTTATTTTACATTTGCATATTCAGAATGATGACACCAAGTTCCTGAGCAAAGCAGATCAGACTGAGGAAGTTCCAAGACAGTCTGGGTCTATGGTAACTCTGCCCAAGGCTCCACCAGCTGGTGTTTTTGTTTTTTGCTCTTTTTTAAAAAAAAAATTCAGGGCAAGCTGTGTTCCATAGCAGGGAACTTTTTGGCAGACTTCCTATTATTTGCAGTAGATTTTGGATAAACAAGATCTATTGGGGGAGTTCCAAAACAAGAAAAACAAAAACCTTTAAAGTTTTTCAGAGAGAGAGTATTAGGAGATATATATATATATATGTATATATATATATATATATATACTAACATTATCCAAGCATTAGGTGAACCCTGTAAGCAGTATCATCATTGCCACTTTTATGGTCTATTTCAAGAGAATCCATGCCAGGGATTCTCTGTAAAGTACAGATCCTATGAAATTGCAGTAATGGCTCCTACATGTGAATTTTAAGTATCCAAAGTAAAGCCATTTGAAGTAATGTTGAGTATTAGATATGCCAAACACAGTAACAACAAAGTCTCCAATGGAGACGTTACTGGGCCCGCTCGAGCAAATCGACGATCAACGGGAGGGCCTTTACCTTTACCTTTACCATTTTGGCTACTTTTATATTAAAAACTAGATTTACATATCCTTTCCAGAGGAATTTCCTTATGGGATGAATCATATATCAGAACGTAAATTCTGTCTTTAAGAACAAATGAAAGAAAAAATAAATATAAAATAAAAATGAAAAAAGAACAAAAGCAACCGGTGTTGGCGTGGATGTGGCGAGAAAGGGACCCTCCTTCACTGCTGGTGGGAATGCCGACTGGTTCAGCACTTTTGGAAAACAGTATGGACGATTCTCCAAAAATTAGAAATTGAGCTCCCATTTGATCCAGCAATACCACTCCTGGGAATATATCCCGGAGAGGCAAAAAAGTATAGTTGAAGTGACATCTGCACTTGTTTGTTCATTGCATCACTGTTTACAATAGCTCGAATCTGGAAAAAACCTGAGTGCCCGAGAACAGATGACTGGTTAAAGAAACGTTGGTACATCTACACAATGGAGTACTATGTAGCCGTTAGAAAAGATGAAGACATGAAATTTATATACAAGTGGTACTACATGGAAAGTTTCATGCTAAGCGAAATGAGTCAGAAAGAGAGGGACAGACATAGAAAGATTGCATTC